GGGGGGGGGGGCAGCCCTCTCTGCCTTGTGGGGTCAGAGGACTCAGCAGTGGGTTTGCTCAGGCTGGGTAAACTGGAAGCTCGCAGGCAGCGGAGCTGCTTGCACCGTGGCCGAAGGTCACCAGCAGACACTGACAGCCCCATGGCCCAGAGAGTTGGGCCCCATGCTCCACAGGCCTGCTGAGGCTCCTCCCCCTCCCTCCGCCACCCCCACCCCTTCTTGGTTTCATGGCAGCCGTTCTCAACCTGTGGGGCGCAACTCCGTTGGGGGTCGAAGGACCCTTTCACAGGGTCGCCCGAGTCATCACAGTAGCAAAATGACAGGGATGAAGTAGCAACGACAATCATTTTATGGTTGGAGGCCACGACAGAAGGGACTGCATGAAAGGGCTGCGGCATGAGGACGGCTGAGAACCGCTGGGTTATGGTACCTCATTACCCAGCAAATCTAGTCTACACCCTACCCCCATCATCCATCGCTCTTACCTCCCCCCCCCCACGCACATCCTGTGTTCAGCTAGTCTTTGCTCCACAGAGTACTCACCTGCCCAGCCTATCCCCCAACAACCTCTGTCCGTGGCCCTGGGCCCCGTCACCAACCCGGCTCAAACATCCCTGTGCACGGAGCAGGAAGTCCTTTGGCCCCTGCTCTGCATCAGAGGCAAAGACCTGGCCCTGCTTCCTACAGGCAGGGGACAGGAGGGTCTCTGCCACATGGGTGGGGCTGGGGTGTTCTGTGTCTGAGAGGTTGTGTTCTTGCTGAGTAGGTATGTATGCATGCGTGTTGAGCCTGTGCCCTTGTGTGACTGTGGTACTGTGAGTACTGTGTCCCTGTAGAACATAACGTGTCTGGGTGCTGTACCCCACCCCTGCTCCTGGCAGCCAGGTGCCTCTGCTCTGTCTGGGAGTCATCATTGAATGTACAGCCTCTGCTGCGCCCAGGCGGAGAGGCTGAGCAGAGCCTGGAGTACTGCAGTAGGTCCTTTCCACAGCCGCTGGCTCCAGCCACTCAGACACTCTACCCTGAACTTGTGTGTTTGGCGGGGGCGGGGGTAGAGAACCAGCTCTCAATCCCAGACCTGCACCGGGAACCCTCCCAGCCCCAGGTGGCGTGTGGCTCCTGCTCCTTCTCCTCACCAGGACCCGGCCTGGTTTAAGTTTTTTGTTGGCCACGCCTTCCCTCAAGTCCAGCCCCATGGGGCTCTTTCCGCCTCACCCCCACTTCAGGGTAGGGCTGTGGGCATAGCTCAGAGGTGGCCACAGCTGCACAGTGTGGCACAAGTGGAAGCCAAGAAAAAGGGGTAGCTCTAGAGACCCTTACAAGGAGCATTAGGGGTGTGTGTGTGTGTGTGTGTGTGTGTGAACATTGTGTCTGTATGTTCACCAGCCGTGGGCATCACAGAAAGCCCGGATGTCAACAATTTCATCCTGATTTGTGGGTCCAGGGGGAATGAACAGACTGTGTGCCATGTGCCTACTCAGGGCGAATTGCATGCCAGCCGCAAGCATGCCACCACCTGCAGTCAAGGTGCCCCGTCCCTACAACTTGTTCAGAGACAGGAGAGGGAGGCCTAGGCGGTCAGTGTGCCCAGGCTGAGAAGGGTCGGTGGGGGGGTGGGAGTGGGGGGTGGTGCTCTGAGAACCCAGGAGACCCTACGGGGTCATTGCCCCCAAGAGGGTGGAAAGACTTCAGGAGACCTGGCTGCCTGTTTCTGGTCCTCCTGCCAGGATTGGGAGGGAACGGAAGGCTTGGGCTCTGACCCGCTGGGGCCAGTCACTGGGGCAGCCCTGCTGCCACCAGATGGGGCTGCTGAGGTCCCGGCTGCCAAGGCTAGCCTCATCTTGCAGCCTTCCAAGGGCGAGTGAGTTGATGTAGCACTGTGGACCTGGGGGTGAATCTGGTGTCAGGTGTCTGAGTGTGGTTCAGGACAGATGTTGTCTGGTGTTTGAGACTACCCACCTGTCAGCAGATCCGATGAACCAGCTGTGTCCATTCAACACCCAGACCTACCAGGCGCCAGCTCCACACTGGCTTCCAAGCTAGGCCGGCTGGAGCACTCTGGTTCCTTGGGTCCGTTGGAGAGGCTATGGGAGAAGAGACCGAGATTTTGATGACAATGCACTAAACTATCTGGTCAACGCAGGTGCTCCTGGGTCCTTATTGACAGTCAGGGAGCATCATAGGCGGGAGGTGGAAGACCTGGAGCAGGTGAATGGTGAAGACAGGGACAACTAGCATTGTGTGTGTGTGTGTGTGTGTGTGTGTGTGTGTGTAAAAGTAGAGCCAATGGGAAACCAAGTCTTTACACTTGTACTTTGTCAACCGCTTTACAATTTAAAAGGTAAGCTCACATACCTTTCATCTCACCCAATCGTCAACATCAAGAGTAAAGCAGGCGGGAACCGATGACAAGGAACTACATGTGACCTCCTCCCTGGGGGTCGGACAACAGAAAAGTGGGTGAAGGGAGATGTCAGACAGGGTAAGATACGACAAAATAATAATTTATAAATTATCAAGGGCTCATGAGGGAGGGGGGAGGGGGGAGGGAGGGGAAAAATGAGAACCTGATGTGGGGGGTTTAAGTGGAGAGAAAATGTTTTGAGAATGATGTACAAATGCGCTTTACACAATTGATGTGTATATGGATTGTGATAAGAGTTGTATGAGCCCCTAATAAAACGATTTCTTTTTTGTGTGTTTTTTTTAAATCAATTTATTGGGGCTCATAAAATTCATCACAATACATAGATCAATTGTGTAGAGCACATCTATACATTTGTTGCTCTCATCATTCCCAAAATTCGCTTGCCTCTTGGGTTCCAGGAATCAGCTCATTTTCCTCCCCCCCTCCCTTCCTCTGCCCCCCTCCCCCATGCACCCTTGCTAATTTATAAATTATCATATTGTAAAACGATTTAAAAAAGAGAGTAAAGCAGGCAGATCCTTCTCCCGTCCTACATACAGGCCACACTCACAGTGAGGCCACAGAGGCATGGATGGTCTGACACCCAGAACCCAGCTCCTGGCAGCCACATCGCAGGCTATCCTCAAACACCGCCCCTGGACCTCATCAAATCAGCAAGCCCTGCCAAGCAGGCATCAGAACACACAGGCCTGGGGAGTGCTGAAGGAGCCCAGTGCACCAGCAGCTAGCCAGGCCGGAGGACCCTCTCTAAGCTGGGTCTGAGCAGGCTTCCGGCAGAAAGGGAGAGCAGCCTGAGCTGGAGGGATAGCCAAGTGGCTGGAAGGCATGAGCAGTGGCCGAGAACCAACCAACCACTCTGAGGGACTGATTAGAGGTTGGGCTGAGATCAGGGAGTGGGCTCCAGGGGCTGGTGGGAAGGCTGAGGGGTGCGGTGCGGGGGTCCTGCCTGGACAGGGAGGAGTGCCTTCTTCGGTGTCATGGAGTTTAGTGGGGGTGAGGAGGGCAGACACCTGACAGAGCAGGGTACAAAATACCCCCTCTACCCCCACCTCCACCCCTGAAGGATTCAGCCAGCTCTCTGGCACACTGGGACCTGCCTTTGAATATGTATGCACTGAATGAAGGCACTGCTCTTCAGAGCTGGTTGTGATGGGGTGTGGGCACCAAGGAGTCTCAGGGAGAAACAGGTTTCGCACTGCAGACCCAATCGACCCCAATGGCTTCTACTTCCTCCTTCCCCACAGGTAGGAACTCTCCTTAGTCCTTTCCCCCTTTCCTCCCCTGCCGTGACCTCTGGGGAGAAGCCACCAACCCGTGCTGGAGGAAAGCCCAGGAGCAGGTTCAGGCAGCCCCTGGGGTGGGACGCCACCATTCCCCCACCCCTGCCGGCTGCAGCCTCTCCTTGGCCTACTCAGCTCTGTTTTCCCATCTGTCTCTCTCCTTCCCTCCTACCCCTCCCGGCCCAGCAGCCCTGCCTCTCTCCTGCTGCTTCTCCGCCTGTTCCGTGCTTCCTGCCTTCCTAGCTACCCCCACAGCCTCACTGGTGACTGGCTGGTTCCCAAACCTCAGCCACACTGTGGAGCCTCTGGGCCCCCTCTGCCAAGCAGGGAGCCTCTGTCCCCCACCCTGCTTCCTCTCAGGGATCCTCCCCCTGCCCAGGCAGCTCAGAGCCCCCACCACAGGAACCGAGAGAGATACAGGCAGGGTGGAGAGTGTCTTTCTAGGCCTGGCTGGGTCCTAAGGGGGCAGGGGCTTCTAGGACTGCTCGTAGGAGGGCCTCCACCCTGGAGTACAAGTCAGCCTCTTCCTCACCGGGCTCTCCCACCTGTCCCAAGGAGGCAGCCCAGGTGTGAGGAGGAAGCCAAGGTCTAAGGTGGAAGCCCACCTCCACCCCGGCTTCCCCAGGGCCCTAGTGCCCTGGCACAAGAGGCGAGGGGCTGCCTCCTCTTCCTGAGACCCGTGTCAAGAAGCCACACAGCCTTTCTGGGCTGGAGACCTTCAGGAATGGTTCCCCCAAGATTAAAAAAGTGTCTTTGGGGTTTTTTCCTAGGTCATTAATGCCTCAGACAAGAAAACCTTGGCTGCCCCTTCCATTCTTCCTGGTTTCTTGAGTCTAGCACTGCTCAGGAATGGGCACGGGCCGCCACACACTCCCATTCTCCTGTAAGCACAGCCATGCACACTCACCGCTGTGTGTGTGTCTGCACACACGGCGGGCCTGGGCACACCCACCCATGCAGAAGTACACAGTCATCGAGAGCTGTTTGCATGTAAATGCAGCATGCAGCACGTGTACACACACACACACACACACACACACACACACACACACACACACCATGGCACCTCCTCACCCTCAGCTCTTGCATCTTCCCCCACCCCTCACTGCATCCGCACTCTCACAGCTATATACAGTCATCCACAGGTCCTAGTGTGGCAATATCTGAAGAATGGCAGTACAGGAGCTTCTGGGTGAGGGAAGGAAGAGGGTGATCATTCTGCCTCTGCCTTTAAAATAACCCCTTGGGGGCATCGTGCCAATGTCAACCCACAGCGACCCTATAGGAGAGGGTAGAAGTGCCCCCCTGTGAGTTTCTGAGACTGTACTGTTAGAGCTCTCAGGGGAGAGTTACACCTGGGTCCTTGGCTCCGAGTGAGAAAGAATTCACCCCGAAGCCTGGTGTGTGATCCCAGTGGGTTTACAGAGAATAGAAGCAGTTTCAGGCCCTACAGTAAATGGAACACAAGCCAGACAGAGTCCGCGGCACAGTTGCGAGACTGTGGCCTGGCCGCCGGGACCGCAGCCAGACTGTGCTGCACTGTGTAGTAGTTGCTGGGAAAGAGAGCGCCAGAGGAAAACCTCTGGCCTTTTCCGGGGCCCCATTTGGAGGCATGGTCCACAATACTGGTCGACCTTACTGGCTGAATCAAATTCACCTGGCTTAGATAGGCCAATCCAGGTGTAATGCCCACCTAGGTGTACCACCCCTTCCGCCAGAAACTCAAACCTCTGAGCGTGTGCAATGGACGCCCCAGTTCCTATGCTAGCTACCTAACAGTACCTCTTTACAGGAGTAGCAAGCCTCAACTTTCTCCCTCAGAGTGGCTGGTGGTTTCAAACTGCTGACCTTGCTGCTAGCAGCTCAACGAGTAACCCGGAAGTCCAGGGGGTGAGAGTCATAGGCCCAATAAATCTAGGTGCCTCTCTTGTCTGCTCAGTGTTCCGGTTTCAGCAAGGCACCAAGCCCAAGGCTAAAAGTAGTTGGATGTGGTCCCTGCCACTCCGCCCTCCACCACAGCTCCCTGCTGGAGCCCACTAGTCTTTTGTCCTCTCTGAGGAATGGGAGGAGTGATTTCTGGTTCAGATTGACACTGACCTCTGACTTGGACATTGCTCATTTGAATCCATAGGTGCTCTTCCATGGTGGGGGGCATGACCCTGGCCAAACCTCTGAGCACCAGCAAGGGAAAGGGCATCCTCCCTCCCCGCCGTGTCCATGGATGCCACCCTCCTGGTCACTGTGGTTCCCTCTCTGGCCATGGCCCTAGGTGCTGTCCTGGGGGTCACTGAGGAAGCAAAAGAAACAGGACATAGATAAGGAAGTGGGTGGATTACCCTCCTGACCTACTACAGAACCTGATCCGGAACCTCCTCTTCCCAATAAACAGCTTCCTGAAGGCCATGCCCTATTCTTAAAAGAGCCAATCTTCCTTCCTGTCCAGCGTAGCACTCAGGGGCCCAGGTGGTTGCTCAGTTCCTCAGCTGTGGAAACAGGCCCAGCCCAGCTTTCTCAGAAGCTCTGTGGGGTCACTGTATCTGTTGGAGGATGTCACCCTCCCTGTCCTTTCCTTGCACGTCCCACCCTCTTCCATCAAAGGGTCTCACACGGGACCCTGGTCACTTTTATTCCATCCAATTCACTCAGCTCTGCTGGGCCTTTAAAGGTTGCATTCCGATGCTCTCTCTACCCATCAGCACCTTTCATTGGCTCCCTACTGTTCAGAGGGTGTGGGATACAGAAAGGTTGTCCCCCGGATTGTCCCCCATATTATATGCCAAACAAAAGATGATGCTTACTAATATGTGGTCACTGTGTGTGCACTTGGAGGTCAGCTGCTTAGGGGTGATCTCCCTGAGGGTTATCAGCCATCTAGAGCAATCCGACTCTAGAGCAGTGGTTCTCAATCTTCCTAATGCTGCAACCCTTTAATACGGTTCCTCATGTTGTGATGACTCCCAACCATAAAATTATTTTCGTTGCTACTTCATCACTGTCATTTTGCTACTGTTATGAATCATCAAGTAAATATCTGATATGTAGGATGTACTTTCATTGTTACACATTGAACATCATTCAAGCATAGTGATTAATCACAAAAACAATATGTAATTATATATTGTGAAATATTTATTTCTAATGACAAATAAATGAAATTTTGTCTTGAAGCATGGTGTAGCATGGGTAGCAGTCTTCATGCTGAATATTCGTAGGTGGGCGTATCTGCATGTGGGTGGACCCTCCTGGAGACAGAGGAGCAGTGTCTTCGTTCCTAAGACCATCAGAAAACATATTTCTGATGGTCTTAGGCGACCCCTGTGAAAGGGTCATTCAACCCCCCCCAAAGGGTCGAGACCCACAGGTTGAGAACCACTGCTCTATAGTCTGTCCTACCTTAAGTAGGGCTCACTCCCTTCTGATAAGGATAGTGGATTATTCCCCTGAAGGAGAGCCTACAGACAAGGTCAAGCCAATTCAAGGAGGGTCAAGGTTAGGCTGCCATCTTGACTTTAGAGTCCCCCCATCTTGTCACATGTGTACCCCCAATGCCTCCACTTCCTATTGAGGGAACACCCCTAGCTTGTCCCCTTCCTGTTGCATGTATGCCTATGGTACAGCCCCTTCCTGTTACATATATGGTTACCTGTATTCAGGGGGACTTGCATGTCCCTGAAATGTATATAAGCTCTCTCTAAACGGACTTGGCTGCTGAGATCATGGCCATCCAAGAGGTGAGCAATTGCATGCCTTATCTTGTCTCTTTACTTTTACCCCTCAATTACACAACCGCCCCTTGGACCTGTTCGGTTGTGTGGGCTGGTACCCCACAAGAGGGATTTCTCACCCTTCCCGAAATCACCTCATCTTTCTTTGTGTACCTCTTAACTTTACACAGCCCCCTCCTCCTCCCAACGGAATGCCTTCCCTTTCTCCTAACCACGCACTTTCAAAGCCCACCCTAGTTTCCACATCACCTGAAGCTCCGTGAAGCCATCTCCAAGGCCCCTGAGGAAAAGCAAGGTCCTCCCTCAGCACGGTCCCCTTTCTCTGCAGCTCACATCAACCATCATGTGGACCTCACCACACCCTGCCCAGACAGCACCTACTTACGGAATGGCCTTTTGTCTCTCCAGGCGGACTGCAAACCACACAGGGCAGGCTCACGGAGCCCACACCACTAAGATCCCCCCACTCTCACCCCCGCGGTCCCGTGCCTGGCACATAATACTCCAAACGGACTCTCACCAGCCCCATTCCTTCAGCGAAGGCCTCCTAGCTGCACGCGCAGCCGGCCATGTGGAACAAGCTCATCCTAATCCCACCACCAGGACCGGCTCCCCGTGTCAGAATCAGGGCACTCACATTGAGGGTGCCGGTTCGGACAGTCTTCCAGCCAGCTCTGCTCAACTGTGCCCTGGCCCCAACTCCACAGCTGTTCCCGGACAAGGGCAGTGAGCGCAGGGGCTGGGGGTCCTCTGATGGTCTCCTTCTCCTTCTCCACCTCCCCCCATAGTCCGCATTTGAAAACTACAGTGAAGGGTCTGTGTTAAAGGGGCGCAGGCCCAGGTGAGCGTAAAGAAAGGCCCAAAATGAAGAGGTGCCCAACCCCAGCGCTGAACCGAACCGAGAGGATAGGCCACCTACAGCCGACCCATCTTTCTGACTGGAGTCTGCGATCTGGAAAAGTGAGGCCTGGGATCACGCTACCCAGTTCCTTTCTGGGAGGCGAGTGAGATTCCAGCCCGCCCGCCCGAAGCATCTCTCAGCTTTGCCCCAGGCGGAGGGGGTCTCCGAACCAACAGGGGCTCCTAGGACCGCGCGCCTCTGTGCAGGGCGGCGGCGCGGCGGGGAGTCTGTGGCCCCGCCCCCGGCCGCGCGCCTATTGGCTGGGCTCCTCTTCCACCCCGCCCCCGACGGGCCCGCCTGGCGCTGGAGAATGCGCAAGAGCCCGCCGCCGCCGCCGCCGCGGCTTCAGCACCAGCTCCCGGACAGCGGCGCCGCCCCCGGGCATGGACGCAGGTAGTAGCAGCAGCAGCGGTCCGGCGCCCGACCTGGGTCCGGAAGGAGAGCAGCGGCCCGACGGGGAGTCCTCGGTCCCAGACGGCAGCTCCGCAGACAGGTAATGCAGACTGCTTCGCAGCGCCAAGCTCGCAGCCCTTCCAGCCCCCAGCCCCAGGTAGCCCCAATAGCCGCCATATGCCGCCCCACTCATCCTCCAGCCCCACCCAAAGCCCCTCCCCGGGCCTCTGCGCTCGCGGTGCGCCCCCTCACCACGCCCTGATCCTGCCGGGTCAGTTTCCCCGCTCCCTGACACCCCCTAGTGTCCGTGTCACTGCGCTCGCTGCCAGGGGGACCTGCCCCACCCACTCTGTCTACCTTTTCTGCTCAGCCTGTGGGCCCCCTCCCCTCCAGTCTCCGGAGCTGCCCACCCCCTCACCCGCTAGTCCCTCTTCCAGGCTCTGTCCCCAGGAGCCCCAGCCCACAGCACCCTCAGTTCCGGACCGGACGGGCGTGTCAGGGTGGCCGAGGATGCGCATGTAACGTGGACCACAGTCGCTGAAGACAGGTGTCTTGGGACGGTAGTCACCACGCCACCGAGTCAGGGATTGCCTTTGTTGGGCACCATGGGTCTATCACCCCCTTAATCTGCTCGGCACCAGCTGTGCACGTGTGGGCCAGCCGAGTCTGCGGGCAGCCGCAGGCATTCAGTGCTCTGCGTTCAGGGGAGCTGCGGGGGAGGGCAGGCCTGGAAGCTCGGGCCTGCATGCCATTCCTCCTCTGAAGGGGCCCCGGGCTGGTGTGGCCGAAGGGACACCTTCCTATTTTGGGCCAGATCCTGTGCTTCACATTTCCTTTCCTCCACGCCCAGCCAGGTAGCAATATGGCGTAGTTTCTGTGTCCTGTCGGGTGGCTGCCGCCCCCAGAATCCCTTCCCTGACATGTCCTTGCCTCTCTCTCTGTGGTCTGGGCTGAAAAGAAAAGGCCTCTTTCCGAGGCAAAAGTGGCAGTGGACACATTGTTTCTAGACTACTGTGTTGAAGGGTGCCTTCTGTACTTCCGAGGGAAGGCCCCACAGGTGAGGTGTTGCCCTCCTCCCTCTGATGCTCACACACGGGCCTGATAGATTTAGCCACTTTGCAGGGGGAAAGGCACAGGGCCTCCTGTGAGGCGATGCCAAAACACCTAGTGACTGCTCCCTGGAGCAGGGAGCTGTCAAGGAGACCAGGGAAGGAGGTGTGACACGATAGGACCTCAGGGCCAGGAGCATCTCTTGAAGGGGCTTGGCCATCATTTACTGCCTTGGTCATGTTGCCAAGGGTTAACCTGGCCTAGTCTGCTCACTTGTCCCGCCCCGAGAGGGCATTCTGGGCATCGGAACCACCTGCTCTCTGTCAGTGACGCCTGGGGGTCCTCACTGCACTCTCCCAGAGAAGACCCTGCACAGCAGTCAGGCCTGGGGCTCTCTGGATTGCACTGCGTTCAAGAGCACCAATAAGCCCTGCTCCGCCAAGCAGCACGTTCTGGGGAAGGATTCATAATGAATAAGACCACACACATATACTTGAAATATTTCATTCGTTGTTTATTCAATTACTCTCTCCTCCTACCCCCACCCCCAATGGAGTGACCTGCTGCCCCATCCATCCGTCATAGCCACTCTGCAGCTCACATGGAAGTCCATGTGGCCATGTGCCTGCAGGCTTGGGGACATGGTTGATACACTCGTACATTTACCTTTACAGGGACTCTGTCAGTCCCTTGCGCCCTGTCAGTCAAGCTCTGGCTGCTGTGACGTTGGTCTTTTGTGCAAGGTCTGTGTCACCACTTTCCATGCCCCGCCCCCCCACCTCCACCTGCCCCAGTCACTTGGCTGACAGGCCAGCAGGCCCAAGCAGGCAGCCCAGGAGGTTACTTATCCCAGAAAGGTCTAAGGAACTGAGGGTGTGGGCAGGAACACAGCCTTGGGAGGTGAGAGCTGGAGTACTTCGCTTGGGTTATCACGGGGTCTCCTGAGCACCAAGGACAGCAAGAGTCTTTATCTCAGCAGAGTTGAGTGAAAGGGCCACTTTCATAGCAGCTAGAATGGAGGAGAGGGGATTTCAAACTCAGCCACAGTCAAGGAAGGGGAGATCCAGGCAGAGGATGCCAGAGATAGAAAAGGGATTCCAGGTGCTTCCTGGTGGCACCCCGTGGAAGCAAACCAATGGTGGAGGCTGGAGCCAGCCCCTGGGTAGAAAGCAAATCAAGAAAGGCTGGTTGACTCCCCAGGGAGGGAGGGCTTCCCACACATGAAAACACCGACACCCTCAGCCAGGGGCCTGGTTCCTCGGGCAAAGTCCAGTGCACAAAGGCAACGGGCAGCTGCAACAGGACTTTTACCACCACCTCAACTGCCCACCCTCCTGACCCATGGATGCCCGGCTGGGCCCTAAACAGGGAGGCCAATAGACCCAGCCCAGAGCAAGCACAGTGGCGGGCACACAGAGGGTTCTCAAAAGCTGTGGAATACAGAATCTTAAGGGAAATCAATGTCTCCCCTTAGACACACAACCCCAGGCCTTTCGTCAGCTTCTCTTTGGCCCCTGGGGATTGGCCTGCAGGGTCTTTTATCTGCCGGAAGCCTGGTTGCTTCTCTCATTGCCTGCCGTTGTGGGGTCATCTGAAGTCCTGCTGTCCACAGAACAGCTTTGGTCCAATTGCTCTCTTTTTTTTTTTTCCCTCCGTACTGTTCACTTATTAAAAAGCACAGCAGTGGTTTACATCATGAGACCAACTTTTTCGTGCAACTTTAGTTAACAAAAAGGAAACAATTTATTATTATATAAGGCAATGAGAGTCTCTGAGGATCGGGAGTTTTAAAATAGAGCTAGACTCTTTGTGTTCCTTAAAGAGGTCATTATAAACCCCAATAAATATACTTCCTAAAGTACAGGTTCCCTGCAGCACGGAGATTGGAAGGGACAGAAAAACAAGTTTCTCCTTCATGCCAGGCTCTGTACTAGGCATGTTGCACTGGCTGTCCAGTTAACCCCCATACCACACCTTGATATTGCAGGCATGAGCCTCATATCCTCCCTCAACAGACAAGGATGCTAGACCTTCGAGAATTGTTGGTCAGAAGCCTCTTTCACCGGGTCCTTGTTTCACCCTTATAATGAGGGGCCTTCCTCCCCAGACTGCTGTGCCAGCCGGCCATCCTCCTGGAGAAAGAGGAGAGCTTGCCTCCTCTGCCCAGCCTCTCTGTTTGGCCTCTGGGCAGAACCCAATCTTCCTGAGCCATGAGCCCCATACACCAGCTACGGCAGCTAGGCCTCCAGCCGGCCCCGCAGTCCCTTCAGCAGTGCAGCAGACAGGACTGGAAGCCAGGCTTGGCTCAGCAGAGTCAAGGTACTCCAGCACAAGCTCCAGTCGGCTGGACATAGGCTGGGCATCCCGGGCCAGGGGGCGGGGAGAAGGCAGGCCCAGCCACTGCTGCCCAACCCTGACTCCCTCGGGGTACCCTCCAGGCACTCAGCTCTAGGCTGCCTTCTTCCACCCTGGTGGCCTGGCACTCCATCTGGCAAGCCTGGCATTGAGCAGACAACCCTCAGGCTGCCCCCAAAGTGGGAGGGATCTTGGGAGAGGAACGTAGTGCCAACTCCAGCCCCCGCCCCCAACAGGTTTCTCAGAAGTCCACTCTGCTCCCACACCATGCACATCCCCGCACAGCAAACCATCTGCATCACGCGTAGGTCAGGACAAGGGCTGGGGAGGGGGAAGCCGTCATCCTCGTTGTCGTCCCTACAATATGCTCCTGACCACCTCCACCAGGTTAGGTTCCAGATCCTGCTCTAAAGACCTCAGGCCTACGACTTCCTCTTTGACCGCCCCGGGCACATTGGACTGTGGCCATCTAGGAGCCGGCCTCCTGAGCACAAGGCAAGCCCTGGACCTCAGTCACCCCAGCACCACTGTGAGCAGCCGGCGCAGCAGGCCAGGCAGTGTTCACCCTCTAAACATTCCTGGCCACTTCTGTGGAAGTGTCCCACTCAGGCACTGGGGACACAGAGACGGGCTAGTGGACCAGGGGTGCCCACTCTCAGAGCCCTCACTCCATCAGAGGCCAGGGTCACATGGCAGCTGGATGGTCTCAGCGACCAGGTGCTGGTGCAGCAGATACACGCAGGTAGCTTCGGAGAACAGATATGCGTTTGCTTCCAGAAGGCTAGAGGTCCAGATTCAGGAAGTGGTTCCAGGAGGAGGCAGGCCCTCCCTTGTCTATTTCAGCTTCTGGTAGCTGCCACCATTCTGGACTGTAGGTGTGCCGTCTGTATGGTCCCACTCCCTCATTCCTCTTTGTCTTTTTGTGTCTACTCTGCTCCTCTTTTTAGAAAACCTAGAAGCGAGATTAGGTTTAGAACATCCCCTGCACCGGAAAGTCCTCATGACCATAACAAAGATTGGGGAACTGGAGTCTGATCCAAAACATCTACAACACAGTAAACGCTTTGAAACCTGGGACCTGTGTGAGGCAGAAGCCTGTCCGGGAAGGGTGGCTCTCTGGGTGTTCAGAAGGTAGGGCGGAGGATTCATGATAGAAAACAGCCAGGCAGCCAGCCCGAGGAGACCTGGGAGAAGCCTGGGAGACCTGGTGGGGAAAGGGCAGTCCCGCTCTTACCGGCATCCCCGGGCC